CTTAGAGGTCTTCTAGATACCTTTCAAATCAACATTAATATGGGTATATCTTAGAGGTCTTCTAGATACCCTTAACAATACATTTTATTTTCACAATCATCAATATATTCATTATGATTTAATCATTCACAATTATCATTTTTAATCAGAATATTCATCAAGATTCAATCATCATAATAATCAATCAATAATCATTACCATAATCATCAATCAACATAATATTCAATAACAATTAGCGGCCTAGCTTCGGGTGTTAACACCCTAACTTACCGTCATGCATCACATAACATTTTTATTTGTTAAAAACATCATTTTTATTATGGTAATTCATTTTTCCAATGATCATAATCAATTGGTGGATTTTAGAGTATATATTTTCCGAATATTTTCCGAACAGGATCTGGACTTAAGAAAAATTGATTTTTATTTTTAAAAATAATCAATTAATACCTAAAAAACGATTTTTATCTTTAAAATAATCCATTAATAGCTAAAAATCGATTTTTATATTTTAAATAATCAATTAATTGCTAAAAATCAATTTTTATATTTTAAATAATCAATTAATTGCTAAAAATCAATTTTTATATTTTAAATAATCCATTAATTACTAAAAATAGATTTTTATATTTTAAATAATCAATTAATTACTAAAAATTGATTTTTATATTTAAAATAATCAATTAATACTTAAAAATCGATTTTTATAATTAAAATAATCGATTAATAACGTTAAATCGATTTGTATCATTAAAATAATCGATTATTATTATTTTTAAATATACTGACTATCTGAACAAATTTTTAATCGATTATTAGGATGGAAATAATCGATTTTCGGCTACTGTTCATCATCTTCTTCCTCTGTTCAATTTTTAACATTATCATTTTTAATTACCAAACTTCAATTAAATTATATAGGAATGTTCCCCAATGTTCACACATCATTTTAGAGTCATTAATTTGTAGTTTTAACAACAATTTCTTGGTTTATGATTCTTGCTTCTTCAAACATGTCAAACATAAAACTCAACCAAACGACCGTTTATGAACGTAAAAACGATCTATACGAACATTCTAATCACTAGATATATCTACGGGCTTAACTCGAAGCTTAATGGAGGTTTTGAAGATTTTCCGGCAAAACTTCCGGCGAGAATTGTAGCTATCTCCGGCGACCTCACACCAATACTGTAACACCCCAACCCGCATAACCCAAACCCGTGAGATAGCGGACCGGTGTGCCACTGGATTGGTATCCGAATATACAACATTTTCAAAACAATTTAAAACAAACATTCTATCAATACATATAAAAATCCATCGGAGTAATTTAAAATAATGCGGAAGCCTTTTTAAAGTCAAACAACTTGGGGTCTTGCCCGAAAACGTAATAAGCATTAAAGTTAATTAAATAAAGCATAACTACAGATTAGAGAGACAGCCATGCCATCGTACATCTCCTCCTCAATGCCCTATGGGATCGGCTCTAGGTTCATCTGTCTGATCACCTACGGACAGCAAAAAGGAAAACAACGCTATCCGCTCAGCATTGACGCTGAGTGGCACTCCATTGTAGCACAAGAATAAACATAATAATTCAATGATTAAGATGGCGCATATGTTTATCCTTTTAATAAAAATCAATTCAACTTTACATTCGGTTCTTTAGACGGTTGACCAACAGTCAATTTATTTTCTTTCTTTTCAAAACAATTTAGGTGTTAAGGATTCCTCATTAACTCTTTGACCACCGGTCAAACCAATTTAGACTTTCACGAAAGTCAAACCACTTAACATTTAATGCCTATGACGGAGATAGCCTCAATCCGTAATACCGAAGATAGCCTCAATTCGGTGGAGGTAGGATCCCTAGGGCGATAGCCTCAAACCCAAGATCACAGACCCTCGTGCGCACGTCTTAACCTCACTGACCAGGCCCTGCAGCCGCCCGAGCAATGGCCAGTTTCTATGTTCGACATAATAAACCAATTGATCCTAATTACTGATTAGAATTAATTAATTAACATAATTAATTCAATAAAGTCTTGGATTTAACCATTAGGTCAAACCTACGTCAACAGAATATCCAGTCAAAGCCTAAGTCAAACGTGACCTAACCCGAGTCAAAGTCAAACCTGTTCAGTCAACTCACAATCCTCAACAATTCAATTCAAATAATCAATTTAATTCAATTAACCAAATCTAGCCAAATTATAGCATAAACATATATAACGATCCGAACCATTAAATCTATTCTAAACGCTATTAACTTCATAGTACGGACCTGGATTACGCTGAAATCGAATCGATAGCTCGAACGGAAGACAAATCAACGAAATCAAACGAACGGGTCAAATTGAGTCAAAATACGAAATCGACCAATCGATCTAGCGTGGAGATTAATCTGCCGGCGGTATTAACCCGGGGCAGCGGCTGGGTGCGGCGACGGCGGCGGACGCCGGCGTACAGTGGCAGAGCGGCAGCTGTTGGCGGTCTACCTTGTTCAAAATCGAGGGGATAGAGACAAACCGAAATAGGAAACTGAAGAAGAAGAAGGGACTGACCTGAGCTAAGGGCGACGGCGGCTGGAGGCTTGGCGGCGGTGCAACTCGACGGCGATGGGCAGCGACTGGCGGCGCTGCAACCCGACGGCGGTGGACGACCGACGCTCGCAGTGCAGGCGACGACCGCGGCTCGAAGATTGGGAACCGTGGTCGGCGGCGCTGGACCTGGCGGTGAGCGGCGGACCTCTAGCGAGGGAGAAGCGGCGGCGATTGGCTAGGGAAGGGCGACCGGCGATGAGCGGCGACTGGCTCAGGCGACGCCGGCGTGGTCGAACGGCAGGGGAGGATGACCGAAATGAAGAAGAAGAAGAAGAAGAAGATAACGATCGTGCGGCTCATAATAGGTTTAGGTTTTATTTATTAATTCCAATAGTAGTGGTTTGGGCTCTGGGCCCAAAATACCTGATTAAATGGTCATAACATGAGCTCCATAACTCCGATTCGCGAGCCGTCTGAACCGACGCGATCACAAAAATATTTCCTACGAAATGACATAAAAGTTGGGCTTAGAATCCAGATTATAATTTTAACTCCTTTTTGGGCCCAATTCGTAATCAATTGCTCTAACAATTTAATTAATTCTTTTGGGCCAGATTTCGGGGCGTTACATTTCTCCCCCCCTTAAAAAAAGAATTTCGTCCTCGAAATTACCCAGTCATTGGTCGTCGAAGAGATGAGGGTACTGAGTTCGCATAGATTCTTTGGTCTCCCAGGTTGCTTCTTCCACCGCATGATTACGCCATAGTACCTTTACCAAAGGTACCGTCTTATTTCTTAGTACTTTAGTTTCGCGCGCCAAGATCTTAACTGGCTCTTCTTCATAAGACAAACTCTCGTCGAGGGTTACAGCATTGGTCGGCAACACATGAGTTGGATCTGAACGGTATCTACGTAGCATGGAGACATGAAAGACGTCGTGAATCCTGTTCAACTCTGGTGGAAACTCTAGCCTGTAAGCAACAGCTCCTATTCGCTCCAGAATGCGCTAGGGTCCAATGAATCTAGGGCTAAGCTTCCCTTTCTTCCCGAACCGTAGGACCTTCTTCCAAGGTGAAACCTTAAAAAATACCATGTCACCAACATTGTACTCTATGTCCAGTCTCTTTAAGTCTGCATAAGATTTCTGTCTGTCCGAAGTAGTGTGGAGTCGGTCTCTGATCACACGAACCTTCTCCTCGGTTTCCTGCACAATATCTGGTCCCTCGAGCTTACGCTCTCTAAGCTCTGTCCAACAAATCGGGGTTCGGCACTTTCTGCCATAGAGTGCCTCATACGGAGCCATCTGAATACTCGCCTGGTAACTGTTATTATATGCAAACTCCATCAACGGCAAGTAACGCTCCCAATCTTCTCCAAAGTCGATCACACAAGCTCGCATCATATCCTCGACAATCTGTATCACCCTCTCAGACTGGCCATCGGTCTGAGGGTGAAATGTCGTACTAAGGTTCAAAGCTGTGACAAAAGCCTTCTGAAGTCCTCTCCAGAACATCGAAGTGAACCGGGGATCTCTATCAGATATGATTGACAGTGGTGCACCGTGCAACCGAACTATCTCTCTAACGTATAAGTCTGCCAATTTGTCCAAGGA